AAAGATCGGGTGTAGTGGTGCACTGTCTTTGCAAGCTTGGGCCAGTAGTACTTTTCGCGTATCCTGGCAAGAGTCCTGCTGTAACCAAGGTGTCCCGCCGTCGGGTCATCGTGGCAGGCTTGAAAAATTTCTTTTTGAAGACTGGAAGGAACTACCAATAGCCACGCCGTGCTGTTGTCGCTGAAGTTCTCCTTGTAGAGCACACCTTGTCGGATTGAGAAGGTTGGCAGTGTTCGTACAAAACCGCGGGGAAGGGCGCTTCCTTGTCCCTCTAGGTGCTCGATGAGTGCTCGCAGCTCAGGGTCGTCTCGTTGGAGTGCTGCCATGTCGCGGACATCCAGTGCGCCGAGGAAACACTCATCGTCGTCCTCTTTGGTGCAGGAAGGACCAGCCTCGACTGGGGCCCTCGACAGGCAGTCGGCGTCACTGTGCTTCCGGCCGGACTTGTACACCACGGTCATGTCGAACTCCTGGTGTCGTAGGCTCCACCGGGCGAGGCGCCCGGAGGGGTCCTTCAGATTCGCCAGCGAGCAAAGCGAGTGGTGGTCTGTGACCACGCGAAAAGGACCTCCATACAAATATGGGCGAAACTTTGTTATTGCCCAGACGACAGCGAGGCAATCTTTTTCAGTCGTTGAATAGTTCCTCTCCGCGTTAGACAGCGTCCGACTTGCGTATGCGATAACTCGCTCTGCTCCGTCCTGCACTTGGACGAGTACCGCACACAGTCTGGTGTTACTGGCGTCGGTGTAAATCTCGGTTTCTCAAACTGGTCGAAATGGCCAAGAATTGGGGGCGTCTGGAGTCTTCGTTTGCGCTCGTCGAATGACCTCTGGTGTTCGTCTGTCCACTCGAACTTTACGGCGTCCTTCGTCAGGTGTGTCAGTGGTGCGGATAGTATGGCAAAGTCTCGAACAAAGCGCCTGTAGTAGGCGCAGAGTCCGAGAAATCTTCTCACTGCCTTCTTCTCAGACGGCGGCGCAAATGCAGCTACAGCGCGGGTCTTCTCGGGGTCAGGTAGAACACCTTTGTTGTTCACGACGTGACCGAGGAACTTTACTTCTCCATAGGCGAACCGACACTTTGTTGGCTTGAGTGATAGGCCGGTGGTCTTGATGGCTTGAAGCACGGCTCGAAGTCGTCTGAGGTGTTCGTCGAAATCTCGTGAGAATACCTTGACATCGTCCAGGTATACGAGCCAGCTCTGTCATTTCTGACCTGCCAGCACGGTGTCCATGACGCGCTGGAAGGTCGCTGGTGCTGTACAAAGTTCGAACGGCATCACTTTGAATTCGTACAGTCCGTCGGGAGTGACGAAGGCAGTTTTCTCCCGGTCACATTCGTCGACTTCAATCTGCCAGTAACCACTCTTCAGGTCCATCGACGAAAAAAATCGGGAGTGGCGCAGTCGGTCTAACGTATCGTCGATGCGGGGGAGCGGATAGACGTCCTTCTTCGTCACAGCGTTCAGTCGACGATAGTCCACGCAGAACCCGCCGGGTTCCTTCCTTCTTTACAAGGAAGACTGGGGACGCCCATGGACTTCTTGAGGATTGAATGATGTCGTCGAGCATCTCCTGGACTTGATCTTATATCACTTTCCTTTCCTTTAAGGAGACTCGATACGACTGGTGGAGAGGGAGTGCGTCGTCGTCAGTACTAATGGGATGTTTCGCCATTGGTGTTTGGCGAGCTTTCGATGTCGTGGCAAAACAGTCATTGTATTCGGCGAGGAGATCAACCAGTTGCCGGCGCTTCGGAGCTGGGAGCTCGGGGTCGATGTCGAGCGGCGGCGGCGTCGTGCTCTTCTGCTGTGGCGACGAGGTTTCCTCTGAGATTGTGGTGACCACGGCTGGCGCCTGAAGTTCCTCGACGTGGCCCACGGTGGTACCCTTCGTTAGGTGCTGCGGCTCCTCTCGAAAGTTGGTCACAAGAACAGTTGTACGTCTTTCTTGGAGATCCGTTACGCCTCTTGCGACACCAATTCCTTTTTCGAGGAGCAGTTGGACGCTGCCTTCCAGAAGAGCTCACCGTGCATGGCTGCGTCGGTTATATCGGTGACGAAAACACTCGACAGCGGTGGTAGGTTCACATGGTCGGCAATAACTAGGATAGCGGTTGACGTCGTGTTGGTCTCCACCGGCGGCAGGACAGGCTTTCGCAGCGTCAACTGGCTTGCCGCGAGGTCGATTACGGCGCCATACTCGCAGAGAAAGTCCATTCCGAGGATAACGCCCCTCGATCAGTCTTGCAGAACGACGAACTTCATATGGAACGTCTCACCATGGATCTCGACGCGAGCAGTGCATCTCCCGACTGGTGTAATGAGGTGTCCTCCGGCGGTTCTTATTTGTGGTCCATCCCACGGCGTCATGACTTTTCGAAGGCGGCGGGAGAGCCTCCCACTCAAGACTGAGTAGTCTGCTCCCGTGTCCACGAGTGCCGATGCGTCGAGGCCGTCGATCACAACGTTCATGTTGTTGGACACCGATGCAGGAGCGTCGTTGTGATGCGTGGCGTCGGGAGAGTGGGAGCGCTCCGTCGTTCTTGGAGGCTCTTTACGTCGGTCGTCTTCGGCAACTCCACCTCCAGGGGTTGCCGCGCCTAGTTTACCCGGCGACGAGCCAGGGGCGACAAGCTTTCACACCGGGGTCGGTGCATCGGCGAAGCTGCACGTCCCGGCGACGGCGACCGGAACTCTTGGCGGGACGCAGGCTCGGGGGACTGGGGTCGTCGCAGGTACTCGTCGATCTCCCGAGGGCGTTCACCATACCGGGGGCGCGGGTCGTTTGGGTGGAATCCGCGCAGCCCGAGTCGTCAGTATGGCCATCGGCGGTACACATGGTCGGCTTCCCCGCAGTGGTAGCAGAGCGGGCGTCGGTCGGCCGTTCGCCACACGTCGGTCTTCCTCGACGAGGTTTGCTCCGGGCGGGCGTCCTGGACCTGTCCTTCCTGGCGTCGAGAATACTGTGGCATCGGAGGGTCTCGTCGGGGTGGCGCTGTGGCCTGGCGGCTAGCTTGCGGCGGTCGTCGGGCCGTGGCGTCGTAGCTCAAAGTCGGCTCCTCTGGCGTCGTCGTGTTAATCGGAACCTCAGGCTGGAAGGCCCGGTGGACATCCTCTCGCATGACCTCGGCGAAAGACAGGGAGGACGGGCGATCCGTAGCGGGGAGCATCTTCCAGATTTCTTCCCAGACGACTTCACGGATGATGTCACGGATGCCTGGGAGGTCGGTACCAAGGTCGTATCCGGATGATGTTGCCAGAGTAGTCACGCCAGGGTGTCCCTCGTAGTGTCTGGCGCGTGCTAGTAGGGCACGCTCCATATTCATCACTTCCGTGACAAACCCGTCAACAGTTGTCGGGGGATTGCGAATGAGACCTCCGAATATCTCGCTTTTCACACCCTTCATCAGGTGTCGCAGCTTCTTCTGCTCTGTAGCCTGAGGATCGGCGCGGGCGCTCAGGCGAAGAACATCCTCGACGAAGCCGGTGACGCTCTCGTTGGGGCCCTGGGTTCTGGTTCGCAGTAGGTCCTCGGCTCTCTCTCGGCGGTGGTGGTTGCTGAACGTAGCCTTGAGATCGGTCTTCAAAATGTCCCACGACGTCAAAGAGGTCTCATGATTCTCGTACCAGTGCTTGGCGGTACCCTCAAGCGAAAAATAAACGTTGTACAGGCGCTGCTCGTCCGTCCAGCAATTGTGGCGGGCAACGCGTTCATATTGGTCAATCCAGTCTTCGACGTCTTCGTATTGCTCGCTGTGGAATGGAGCAGCCATCCGCGGTACGACGGGCAGGTAAACGACGGCTGGAGCGCCCGGGGTCTCTGACTGGTTGGCCATCGTCGTCCTCCTTGTTTGCCTGGTCCTGGGTGGCAAAGGGTCCTAACTCCGGGGGTAGGCTAAGGTTCCGACGACGTAATCGGATCTCGGTCTGGTCTTCGTTGGGTTCTTGGGGGCTTGTGTTCAGACTTGCACTGCGGGAACTCGGAGGGGAGCGCTGCACGGGCATGCGGGTACCCCGCATCTCCACCAAAATGTCACGGGGGTGACCAGAAAAAAAACAATAAATAAACAGGAAGAAATGAAATTTTAATGTGGCGAACTTGTGCAAAAAATGAAAGGGTACAAACGATAATAACAGAGCGTCGCGGGCGTCGAAGTCGGCGTAGCAGCACAGTCGAACGCTGGTGCGAAACTGACCCCGCTCGCCTTGCGGAATCTCTTATGTACCCTCGTGGGTTTCTGGATCGTTCGGCGTAGAAGGTTCGGCGCGAAGAACATTCCAAACTCGAATCAGCAAGACGGTTCTCGAATTCACCAGAGCATCACATTACAGTGTCAACAAAAATGTGTAGCCGCGGCCAGGAATCGAACCCTGGCCGTCTGCGTGGAAGGCAACCGTTATGCCACGCGCGCGCTGCCTTGTTGGCCTGCTGCGCGCGCGGCCATATATTCCATTTCCTATAATAAAGGGGTAAATTTCGCTAACTGTGCTCCAGCTAGAGGACCCATCAAGGAGTGGACTGCGACTGTTGCACGGGACCTAGACCACCCAAATTGAAGCATGCAAACAGCCTCGTCTACCTCCTTGTGACCTCATCATACCCGAATGGTGTCAACTCACGAATTGCGCTTTGTCCCAAAGCCGAACGTCCTCCGACGATTTGGATGAACACGAAGTCCTTCTGCTCACGACGCAGCGCTCGTGACCCTTTCTCTGCAGATGACATCAGTACGGTGTTCGACACGCTACCAGTTACAGTCATAAAAGAATTTAAAAAGAAAAATTTACTACGCATCTTGTTTTTTTTTTTTCTGTTTTGTTTTTTCGTTAACTTAAAAAAAAATTAACCTTGTTGTTTATTCCGAGAGCGAGAATCTATCGCTATTTGAAATGCTTTACAGCTCTATTGCTATCGGAGATATGCATCTATTATGTTGTTTCTCCGTACAACGAAACAGAACGACTAATATATTTTTTTTCTTGCTTGGATTCGCAGGCATTGTTTTGCGTGGGAAGCGCGCCCGGGTTCATCAATGTTCTCCAGTTTCAAGAACTTTCAGATGCCTCATTCACGCCCCACGTACCTGCTGACAACGAAGAAGAGGTTGTGGCAATCCTGTATACGTCAGGGTCAACGGGTCTTCCGAAGGGCGTGGAAATTTCGCACAAGGGGTACTGTTCAGCGTTTCACACCTTGAGGTATGAGCGCTGATCAGAGTGTTGACAACTAACCAGTTCTTAGAAGACACAAAGTATATGATGTCATACCGGCAGCATTTTTGTTTGTTTCCGTATTTGTGCACGGAAGCAGGCGTATTCACAATATATATTCTTTCAAGTCTAGTAAGAAAGACCCAGGAGTATAATGTATATTTTGCTTAAAGCAGCCTTAAGTTAAAGATATCTCTTTCGGCCTGTTCGAGCACCAACTTATTTTATACACATGCGTAATGGTATATTGAAACTAATAACTTGTGTGACATAAAAAGTGAATTATAGCAACCAAATTTCACCCTGCATGAACTATTTCATAACGCTGTGAAGCCGGGGGGAACCAGTATCCTTAAAGAACCCCTAAAGAAAAAACATTTTTTAAACAGTCTGGTTGGGAGACGCGTGTCGAAAAATAAATTTTACGCGAAAAACATTTTTTGAAAGGTATTGACGGCTAGAGATTTATTTGAAATTCTGCGCGAGAAATCTATGAAATCTATGGGTCATTCCGGAATTACCATCTCGATCGTGAGGGCGAAGCTAATCCACCTCTCTTTTGCGCGCCCGAAATACCGAGAGAGAAAACAAGTGGAAAGGAGGCCACTGTCGAGTAAATCACGTCTCGCGCCGTCAATATTCCTCCATCATTTCTCTTCTTTTTTTGTAAAATTAATTTTGTGATACGCGTTTCCCGCCCAGACTCTTACATTTTTTTTTTCTTTTTAGGGGCTATTTAAGTTATCTCACGAAATCAGTCACACTGCGCAGAGACACACAAATCACGTTAAGCTCATCACATCTAAAAGTGCGTGAAAGAAACATGTGTGCCGCATTTTCATGTGTTGTTTGTTGGTTTCTTTGTTTATTTGATTTTTGCACGTTTTACGACCATATATATTGTAAAGAAGACTGCATTGTAAAGAAGGTGTAGAACACGACGGGGGATTACGGACGGAAGTGCTGGCCCTTCGCCGTCCGTAATTTGTTTGTCTGCTCTATCATATTGTTTTGTTCTGTTCTGTCTTGTCCTCTCTGCTGCCGGCCGGATTACTATATACTACGTTATACAATTATATTCCTTTATACTACAATATTACTTTACATTAAAATATACTATTTTATACAAAGAGTTTAAAAATAACTTCCAGTAGGCAAAGAAATCTTTCCTTGAGTTTTTAGGTGGCTGTATTTATAATTTGTTTTTAGTTCCTATGCACCGTTTTTTTCTGGATTTCAGGCCTGCTGGAGCTTGCACTGAAGAGGATGTCTTCCTTTGTTGGAATCCTTTCACCCACGGGGCGGGTTTTGCAATAGCCATGTTTTGCATGTTTTCAGGAGCAAAATTAGTCATAACCGATCCTTTGATTCCGTACAAAGCTTTCCTGCAGGTTCTCAAAACTCATGAGGTGAGAAATTTCGTGTGAACATAAGAGTAAAGATAACTTCTAAGAGAAAATTATCTTTGTCAAGCGGCATAAATTTATCACGAAGGAGCAGACAGTGACTCAGTTGCATGGTAAATTTTAACAGAACACCGCTTTCCTATAAAAACGAATGTTGAATTGTATTATAGTCTCAAGACACTAAGCTGAGTGACGCTGTTAATTTTCTTTTTATGGTAGTAAATTCGGAAAAAAACCGGCCGTAAGGGGAGTATAGTCCGTATTTCCTCGTTTTCGTGATTTCTTTTTTTTTTTTTTTTCCAAGTAAGGACTGCGTTGTTTTCAACATTGAACGGGTGTCAAAATACGCCAACGCATTTATCAAAGAGACGTATCTATGGTACAACCACTCTCCCGGTTCACGGGATCTTTATTATTCATTTATGCAGTATTTACCTTCAGAGAGCATTACAATGTATAAAACAAATCTGCAAACAAAAATGTATGTCGAAGCCAAAAAAAAAATGAGTCTACGTACGTTGTAAAATAAAAATCTGATAAAACGAATCTGCAATAGGTGAAATTAAAACCACGAAATAGAGACTCTAATTAAAAGAGAAATGGGTATGAAACGAATATAAAAAAGCACTTCAAAACCACTATAAAATTGACTATAGATATGACAGCTTAAGTGGACAGCAGGTCGAGATAATAAAATGCTTGTAAGCGCCGCACAAAAAACGAACACGATTAAAAAATTACTGACCTTGGCAATGACTTAGTAAAAGAATGACACGACATTCAGTGACAGAAGCACAAGAGGAATGTCTAAAGATGCCCAAACACCATAAAGTATAGAATTATAAAGTACTGGCAGTCAATGTAAATGTGATGTCATGTTCTAAAGGATATTCCCCAGCAAGACTTTTAAGAACTAAAATGCAAACTTGATAGTACTTTCCATGATGTGGAGAAGAATGACGGCCTGATATTCGAATTGTTTTCCGTAGTTTGTTTTGATTGTTTTTGCCTTTCTAAGCGTCCGTTGAATGGTGTGATAAGGCGCTGCGCTAGCTTGTTCACATGAGCTGTGGCTTGATTTGCATAGTAGGTGAAACAACTTACTCTAAAACAACTGATGTCAGGCACCCTTTTGTATTTAGTTCGCTACGGGATTTTTTAAAGAAATACCTGCAGCCTATTGCTAAGGCTGCGTTGATATCCTTGTAGCTACGATGAGGATAATGTCGACCTAAGTTTAATACCGGTCACGCTCAATCATTCATTTTCTAAGAATTGTTAAAAATGCAAAAGCCGGTGAACGCCGTATTTTTTCACTCAATACCGAACTCGCCAAAAATTTGAAAACATTGGTATGCTCGTGAAACTTGTGGAATAACCAGTTTAAAGCGAATACAGTTGTTGTCCACGACAATTTCGTATACGGAAACACCAACGCGTGCTACTCTCTAAACTTCACACAGGAGTTCTCCGAAAAAAAAAAGTGAGTGACAGATACCAATATTCACTTTTGTAAATCCGAAAATTGCAGGATTTTTTAAAAGAATCCCGAATGGTCGAACGCAAAAATCAACGCTGTCCTTTATTTTTCTCTCCATCTGATCTTTGTTTGTTTGTAGCACGTACTTTGTATTGGGTGTAATGCCAAGATTATGAATATGAGTAATTATACATTTCTTTATATTAAAGCAAAATTTTTACTTTAACAAAAATAATCGCATACGCTCGAACCATTTATATTATGGTGATTTAAATTTAAATGAAATAAAACGTTCCCATGAACCAATCTTCAAAAATACATATTTTTTCTATTTATCGCTTGACGATCGTTTCCCCATTTTCATGAACACTTATCTTTTATTTCTAGCAATAAAGATTCAAGCAAGAAATATTTATATCACTATTTTTTAAAATCGCATCAAGGTGCAAAATCTATCTTTTCTACATGACGTGTATTTAATAGCCTACATAATACTTTAATATATTGAATCTATTTCAATGCCACAAATTTAATTGCCCTAATTTTTAAACAAAAACATGTTGTGTTTTAGTCCTGCTCGTGAGTTTTTATATACCACAGCGGAAAAAAGAAGTAATAACTCTTGATTTGCTTCTCATTAATGCATTCGTACACCTTAGAGTTAAGAAAAACGTTAACATGCAGAAAATAAACTGATTAAACTAACCTACTGTTACTCATTAGCTGGTCAGATTTCTTTATCCGGGTTACCGCCTGTTGAAACTGCAATTCTTTCTTATACCTAGCAAAATAATAATTATATAAAAAGAATAAGTGAGAGGCAGCAAACTTGGTCTCTCATTTCCTTTGGTCGTAAGTTACAGGGCTTCAAAAGGGGAGCCACTTTCTAGGGTTGAACATTGCTTGCCTCATATCTGTTGGGGCCAATGACATTCCTCTAAAGAAGCTGTGGGAAATTATTTTAATGGTTACTTAAATCGTTTACATTCCGAAGTTCGGTATGTGAGTAATTTTTGTCCATCCAACTTACAATCCATGAAATATACTTTGATCCAACTGTTAAGCCGCTGCAGAATAATGTAACGCTATTTAAGTTCAGAATTCCTTAGATTTACAGCCAGGATTTCCGAAAAACAGAATAATATTTTTGGGACCAGAACGTTGTATTCATTTTACAGGAAGTATCTATGAAGAACTTTAAACATGGCGTTAATTTTGTTTCTTTTTTTAATCTCGCAGGTATCTTTTTTTATTGGTATCGCAGGATGGATGCAGCATATTGTCAATGGAGTCAGAAAAAACAACGATAGTGTGCCTCGAGTAAAACAAATCTTGATAGGTGGTTCAGTGATTCCGCCTAAGCTTCTACGGGAGGTTCGTGAAATCTTCGACGTCGAATCACTTCTCATTGGCTACGGCTTGACTGAAACGTTTGGCTTAGCGTGCACCTCACCTGTTGGACAAATTGCCTTCGAGAACAGCGCAGTTCCTCTTGCCGGTGTTAAAATCAAGGTATGCCTGAAACTTATCGGATGGTACAAGTTTTCTTTTCGTTGGGTTTAAAATCTGCCATAACAGTGAAGAGTTCCGTTTCTTATATATTGACGAGGATCAGCAAGTAAATGATTACAAGCAGCAAAGTATTTTTTTAAGGATAGCAGGTGCGATAAAAAGGTTCCGAGGCTAATGTGGTAGCTTAAAAAAAGAAAGTGATGCGCCCGCAACATTCAAACGTGGGGGGTCTTTTTGTCTCATTGTGCCAAAGGGCCTCGTTCTTTGAACATTTGGAGCTGCGTTACACGAGCATTTATCTTTGCTCTCGCTCTGGCTTGCAGCCTATAGTGATATCGTCATTGCGCACGTGCACGTGGACACAAGAACTGGCATAGCGCAGCTCCAAACGATCACATGACGTCTATACCTTTAGTATGAGACGCGAAGGTCCTTGCCTTCGAATGTTGCGCGCGCTTTACCATGATGCCCTTGTTTTAGGCTACGAATTGAGTGTCGTTGCTCTTTGATCAAACCTTGCATATGATTACTGATATCTGTAGAAATCCACAATCAAACTTTAAGTTCTCATGAGCTTATACACCTGATAATCAGGGAATACTGCATTGTAATGTGGTTAGGAGCTTACTGACGTTTAACGTAACATTTTAGCATCGGTAGACCCGATGCCTCGAGATACACCTCGCAATGCATGCATGTATGTACGAATAAAAATATGATGCTTAAAACTATCTTGAAAGTAATTTAGAACATTTTACATTTATTTGAGAACGTGATTGCGAACAAATATTTAATGAGCACGAAACAACTAAAGTCTCCAGGAAACTTTAAGAGAAGAAAATATATTGCCTTAATGACAGAATTTAAGTATTAGAATTTAACATGGCCTCACCTGAATATTATCATAACATGGCTAAACATTCTTTTTACTTTTTTAGATTTCTTACTGAAAAAGAAGTGATGACAATTTTGTGACTTATTTTCTAAGAAAAATTCAAAAGATAAAATGATTCTTCTAGAGTTATCTATAAAAATAAATAAAAAAGAAGTCGTAATGACGTTACTTTTTAAGTTATTTAAAAAAATTGACATTGTTTTATATTGCTTTGTAAAAAGTGAAAAAGTAAAGTTTTATTATTTATTAAAATATTTAGGACATTTTTATATTTGGAAGAAGGTTTTGAAGAATAACAGCTGACATATTTTGAAAATATTGAAAGGTAAAATATATTTTCTGCATATTTATCTCTCTTAGCATATTTGTAAGAGTTCTAAATGACAGTAGGTTGGTTTGCACTTTTTTTTCTTCTAATTTAGGATATTTTTTAAGAATCACAGGAGAAAGGCAAATCTCCCTTGTCATTCCCTTTCTTTTTACTATTTAATAAAACTTTCTGCTAACAAGTCCGACGTAACAAAACTAAAATTAAAGATATGTCCCACGTAACGCAAACGTTTGCTGTGCCTAGCGTTACGTCCGAACGGACCGCTGAAACGCGTTAACCGAACCCCGTTCCCCCTCTCTTTCTCGCCCATTAACTCTGAAAATCGATAACATTTCTTCTAGGAACTGTTTTTGTGGAGGTTGTTTTAGCGACTGCGCCGAATTATTATCAGTTGTGCCAATGACTTTTAGTAAGAGGTAGAGTGGACGAACTTCGGAGCACTGTTGTCCATCTTGACAGACTCCCGAGAAGGAGATCGGACACTCATAACCTTAATAAGTGATGAGGATTCACCGGATAAATGATGGCCTTCATTATGCAGGCTATATAAGGCTCTGTAGCTGTACACAGGACTGTGATTCTCATGTTGAGTGCTTCATGGGGTTTTTTGTTTGTGGTCCATTCTAACGTCTATTTGTGCAATGTGTATTTACCACAGGGACATATTTCCTAACAAAGTCCAAAATATAAATAAAAGATCGAGTTTTTATTAACGTTAATGCGCGCTGTTCTGTCAAACAAAAGCTAACAAAATTTATGTCAGAAGGAAATCTGAAAACTTTAAGTGGCCAATTTTAGCATACCTCAGCAAAGTTTAAAAAAAAAGTTTCAGTACGATTTCAGTAACTTTTAACAGAAATTCAGAAGAATTAACTATAGATTTTTGTAAAATGTGTTGAGGGTGGTTCACGCATTTGCTCTGTAGAGTAATCGTGTGTGCCCTCGTCACTTGTAACCGCCTACGACAAGAGGTCCCAGAGAGTGTGAAACTGCTCGACCGGGCTCATGTGGTTTGTGTGCCGCGTTTTGAAAAACTATCTGCAAGGAGGTGACGAAAGCGTTGATCGTCTGCGAGTGTCTCTGCCTTTCCGCCTGCTTTCCTTCTCGCCACTTGACAACGCAGCGCGTGCGCATTTGCGACCAATCGGAGCGGGAGGTGTCTGCCATTTAATTTAAAGCACTCTTCGTTGTTGTCAGAGGGACTCTCTTCAATCTATGCTTTCTATAGAGCAGTCTGACACACTGACGCCTTCAGTGGAGCAAAACACTTTCGATCTGTGTCGAAGGTTCCCTGTATTTGGAAGGTCCAATATACGGTTGCTTTGGAACAAATGGTCGCGTAAAGCAATATTATAATTGTTTTTGAAGTTCACGGTAAAAGGTAATGCCTAAAATCAGAAAATATATATGCATAACGAAGGTGTTTCAGGGTTGCCCGATAGACTGCGCCGTCGTGCTGGTGAAATATCGTCGTGCTTCAAACACCCCGGGCAAGGTTTGGGTGTTCGGAACTCCGGGGACAGGTTTTTCAAAATCCGATGTTGTAAAGCTGCAGATCGTGGATGTTTCCGTTCACTTTGTTTACCAAGGTTTTTATGACCAGATACGGCCTACTGTATTTCAATGCGTAATGAGTGCCATCTCACCATGCTTCAGGCATTCGAACTTATTTTTGACGGATTATTTAACGCATTGGATTCATTAGTCTATACATCCTGCAAATATGTCGACTAGGAACCCACAACACCTGGGAAGAGATACAAGAGGTACGTCACATCTCCCAGTTAGGACGGCTTAAATTAACACCCCCGGACGAGCTACCTAGAGAGAGTTAGGCTACGCGACACCACTCTTGCAAGAACAAACAGAACGAGTACCTCGGCACCTAAGAAAAGCCATTCGTGTAGCCCAGATGCCGAAGCACATGCATCCGGTTCACATAAGGCTCGACGCATCGCTAGAACATGAACCATGAGCACCAAATACGGCAACAGCCCAACTGCAAGATACACCGACGCGTCCCTGTATCAGAATCAGCCAGCCCATGCTGTATGTGTAACCAATGCAGCGGGGCACCAAATGACCGCCATCGTCGTACGTACGGCATCTAGAGAAGCCGCCGAGAAAATTCCCATTGCCAGACCGTCACAGTGCTGGAAGACTCCCAGGCAACCTGCCGCAATTACCTATTAAGAAGCGTCTCCTAAACAGCGCTTTGCATTCTCAAGACCATCTCCCGGCTTCCCGAAGTACACCTCGTCTGAGTACTTGGACACAAATTCCTCGAAGGCGGCACATGCCGCTGCCCGCGCGCAGATATACCGGTCTATCATCCAAGATGGGGCAATCTCCCTTGTTCCCCTCCCGACTGACCTACTCATCAAGTATGCCGTCATACTATCCCACTACCGTCACGGTGGAAGAAAATACCGGTCACCGCACTCAAGACATCAATAGGTGAAGCCTATTGATAGTTTTCCGAAGACTGCACGTCATCTACCCTTCTCATCTACCCTCCGAAGACTGCACGCCAACACATATCCCCACGGGACCCTTCTTCACGCCATCTACCCTTCTCAATAGCCGCCACCTGTAATTTCTGTCCTTCTCAACCCGGACTTTACTGCCAATCCCACCGCGTTCTACGAGCCGTGGATGACCTGCCTGACCAGCCCGAACCCTAGGATCCTGCAATACCTGGTGACGAGGGAACGGACAGCCAGCCGCAGTTAGGGTATCCCGGAGAAACGGTGCCCACCACTGGGCAGGTGCCCTAACATGTGCAACTGATGCGCGTTAAATAAGGATTTATTGAATCAATGTCGATGACTTTTCAGGCCCTACATAATCAGACATTTGCCGTTTTCAAAAATGCTGCGTCCGACCGGATTTCGGAAGTTTGATAGGCCATTCTATTGACTTAAGCGGGAGTATTAGAAATCACACACCGAAAACATGACCATTATGTCACAAAACGACATCAAGTTGTGACTTTACATCGTCTCCCCTTATGCCCAGACGTAGCCGTCGCAACGAGCTGATGCACCTTTCGGAGCGCACCATAGTCCGCTACGAAAGCACACCATGGTGGCGTTCGTCATTATTTCTGTACGCGTTCTATCACCGCTCAACCAATCATTACCTGCAAAGGACTAGTGACTTGCGCTTTTGACGCTGCTTGATCGGTTCCATTAGATCGGAGGGTCGGCTGCGTCCGAGATTAAGATGAAGCGAAGTATAATCAGCAGGCGAGGCAACACTCATCATGCGCGACTTGGGAGTAACTATGTTTGCGGGTCCACTCCGCGAAGGTAAACCTACTCTTTAAATTTTAGGATCGGACAATTCATTAACAGAGGTTGTTGCAAATATTTAACTACTTCCGGAAACGGTAGTGCAGCTGTCTCTTCAAGCAAATATAATTCGAAAGGAAGAAAGGATTTGATGACCTGCTATGATGACCCAGGTTATGGACATAACCAGCGGAGACTCTCTCGGCCCCTATCGTAATGGCGAGATTGCGGTTCATGCCAAAGGCGTCATGAAGGGCTACTATGGGCGTCCTGAAGCTACCGCTGAAGTCTTGAGCAACGATGGATGGTTGCGTACAGGTACGACGTGCTTGTTTTTTTTTTTGCGTTTTTTTTTTTCGTTTTGACTAACAAGAATACGGCTTTCTCGGTCTGACCCAAATATTTCGATTTCGCCAAAATTGTCATGGAACCAGAGTAATATTATTCACTTTTTAATGTTCATTAGCCCATAGTGCGTCTGAGACCTTTATATGACGCTGTAAATACGTACTGTAAAATATGCGGATTTGAGCTCGGACAAAGGTTAACCAATTACCAGTCTCAAAACTTTGCGGTTTGGTGTTCAACCAACAATGTATACAACTATAGCGGGCATTATTAATATTACATGAAGTTTGTCGTAACATCAGAATTCACTACGATGTCACTTCGGCTGCTAGATAGATGTGCGCACGGAATCGTGCAGGGGCGCACTTCTAGAAACTCCTCTGCAGTTCTTGAGATATGGCATGTGGTGTTCTCCCATTTCTGTGCTTTTATGCATATGGCCGATAGTCATTGTGTATTTCCTAACGTTCATGCCCGCGGCGGAGCGAGCGCTCGTTACACAATAAGTCCTTGTTTAGGCAATTTATCATCGTTCTCGGCTCGTGTTCGAGCCCCTCACGAGGCAGTTAACCCAAACAACACCTGCGGCAAATTGCCGCCTTGACGACCCCGATGATGGTTGAGGGGTGACTACTTCTCTGGTGAGGCGTCGATTCAAGCTTCGTGGGTACCAATCAATTAAAACTGGTTGTTTAGGGCTTTTATATTAATGAAGTGATTTGATGAGTGCGATTGGTGAATTTTCATCTCAAAACGAATTCGACTGGATCCGTACCAAATAGTGACCAAACATGTAAGTACAAGTTAAACATTGAATACCAAAATTTCCATTTGGAATGCACAGAACCTTCACAAAAACCACGTAACAAAGGATCAAATCCTCATAGGTGTTTGTTTTACCACGAAGCCACTGAATAAAGAGGGATAAGTACTGCCAAGATTACGTTTTGATTTTCAGGAGATTTAGGCTACTACGACGCTGAAGGACGGGTTCATGTTATTGAGAGATTGAAACAGATGATAAAATGCATGGATAATGTCGTCACCCCTGCGGAGCTGGAAGAAATTTTGAACGCCCACGAGGCTGTCGCAGAGGCCGCAGTTGTGGGCGTTCCAAGCTCCAAGTATGGCGAGGCTCCAACAGCCTGCGTCGTTGTCAAGGACGGCTTCGAGAAAAACCTCGAGAGTCTGGCGACAGAACTGAAGGAACTCATTGCTGGTATATGTCATGTTCCTGATATTCCAACTTTGCTTTTGGTGTGATATGTGCCTGTCTAACTTGCACAATTCAAAGATTAACTTTTACGGATAACGAACAAATTTGTTTTGGGGAAAAGCGCCCTATGACCTCTAATCATTAATGCAAAAGGATAACTAGAAATATCTTGAGTGTCCTCCCCCTGCTGCCTTTACCCTCTCTCCCCCTCTCTCCCCCTCTCTCCCCCCTCTTCCCTCCTTCTCTCTCCCAATCCCTCTTCAGTAGGGACAGGAGCCTACAAAAATAACTACATATCCATACTTAAATACTTGAAATAGAAAAGCACCCTTCTAGAAAATACCAGTAGTCATACCGAGGCCACCTTTATCGCGTAAATTAGTGCTTTATTTGTTTATTCGGTGCAGTCATTGTTAGTAACAAGCTATGTGAAGCTTTCTGGACATGAGCAAAGTAACTGTTGGATTTTTATTGGAATATAAATATTCATCTGTGGAGTGAGGTAAGATTCAGGAGCGCAGCCGTAATAATATTGTGAACGAAGAGCGGAGGAAGCGGTTACTGAATTTAATGCATTATGAGGGAAATGAAAGAGAAATAGAGCTGGCCAAAAATTGAGCCGCTCCTGGCTAAATTTTTTGCCAACTCTTCCTTTTCTCGCCCTAACATTAATGCATTAAAATCAATATTCACTCCCTTCCTTGTTCGTTCACTATATATATATATATATGTGTATGTATATATATATAGAGAGAGAGAGAGAGAAAACGAAGCGCAGGATGACGAAAAGTATATACGGAAGAAAACGCTCCTGAGACGGTTGTTGGAGTTTTTAAAACACATTATTGGTAAAGTTGGTCGACGTTTCGGCCTGAGCCAGACCTTTTTCAAGACTGGCACATGAGATGTCTGACATCTCATGTGCCAGTCTTGAAAAAGGTCTTGCTCAGGCCGAAACGTCGACCAACTTTACCAATAATATGTTTTAAAAACTCCAACAACCGTCTCAGAAGCGTTTTCTTCCATATATATATATATATATGTATATATATATATATATATATATATATATATATATATATATATATATATGTATATATTATTCATACATACATACATAGAGGGTGTTTCACGAAAGGAGGACAGATTCGATATTGCGAAAACTACACGTCGCAACTAAAAATGACTTGAGTCGTTGTGGTCCTGGCCCAGGGGCTTATTTAGAAAAATTATTAAAGTCCGGGATAATTAAGTTGTTCATTATTTTTGCTTAATTAACTTTTTTTTAAATATTGTGTTTAAGGGCATTGTTTATATTAGAAAATTGCTCAGCATCATCAAAAAACACTAAATCAACAAATTGCAGAACGAAAGAGGGCACGCGAAGCATTTTAGGGCTTTCTGAAAAACCGCACAAATTCGACGGGTTTTTAAGTTTCGGTTTGCTATCGGAGCGCGTCTCGGCCCCGACGGCACCGCGCCCCGCGGAGAAATAGTGCAACCAAGCTCTGCTGCGTCCCGCGATGACAGCCCAGCAGAGGTTGGTTGCACTATTTCTCCTCTAAGTCTTCGCAAAAACACCCGCTATCTATATATATATATATATATATAGCTGCCCATATTAGATAATCGTTTTTGCTTGAAAGAGCTATTTTCTTAACCCGAAGATTTCAAAGTATTCAATCAAAATTTGATGGCACAAATAACAACCTTCAAAAAGGTAAAGCGTAAACTAGAACATAAGCATTAACGCACGAAGTATGAAAAGGGACAAACACATGCCCCGGTGCGTTTGTTCCCTTCTATACTTAGTCTGTTCGTGTTTATGTTCTAGCTGACGCTTATACCTAACATGTACGAAGTAGCTCTACATGAGACTGTACTTCAAAAATGTTCTGTGTATTCATGGTAATAAAAACCCGGGACTCAGGAACACAGAAGGGGACGAGCACAATGTCGTCACCCCTTTTAGTACCCTACTAGAGCCAGCTATTATGTAGCACGGGACATAGCTACATTACATTACCTTCTCTTTGAAACTGACAATTAAGAGAAACACTAGTGAACTTATTCCATACAATGAACAAGCGATGTACAAGCGCTAAAAAAGCAAACGTGATTTTGTTTGTGCCACGTTTTTCTTTCATTCTCAAAATTACATTAACTTGAAACGCAAACGTCTTTCTGCTTTTTAACCTGCAAATATTAGGGTTACATGAATCGAGTGTTGAGCGTGCGGGAACCTACTACAGTTACTATACGTCCTTTTTTTCTGTTTCAAAGGTCAAGCAGCAGTGTTCAAGCAGCTGTATGGAGGCGTTTTTTTTACGAAATCTCTTCCCAAGTCCGATAGCGGAAAGATCCTGAGAGAAGACCTCAAAACAAAGGCTGCCCATGAAATAGAGAAGTTGAAAAAATAGTTGAGCTTCTCGGACGCCACAAGTTACACGAAAACCAGGATGTAACCTGCGATAAAGGTGTTTCTGTATTTCACTTGCAATAAACAAGAATAAAAAAGCTGCGCCAGGTAAAATAATGGTGATATTTGTGATAAAAAGAGATTTATTTACGGTAGTCTAAAGTAATTGGCTTTTGATGAAGTATAGTGTAGTGTTGGGACGATCCGGTAGGCAGCAAAAAATTTATGGAGGCCGGGCCAACTCTTGAAGGCAGGCGCGAGGTAGTTGTGCTTTACAAAATTGTCTCCCTTTTCCTGGCAATATTTAACAAACAAAGACTCCTACAGGAGTAATTAAAAAGAAAACTTTCTCGAACTGTGAAGCAAAAAAAAACAAACAAAAAAACATTACGATTGTAATTTTTGGTTATTGATTAAACTAAGTAAAACACATGGAGCGAAAGCTCGCGATGTAGAACCCAGTGATCATGGGTTCAATCTCCTCCCTTGCCCGTTACGATCTCGATGAGCATCGTACTCGCGTGCGGTCGTGTATCACTACTGCGTGGTGCACGTTAAAGGTCCCAGGTTAGTGGTTGTACTGCAGTGGCTAAATCGCTCATCGGCAGCTGAAGCACGAGACCCCGCTGAGGCAAACTAACTTTCGGCTGTATAAACATACACACAACAAGTTGCTTTGGCTTTGCTTTGATGTTTTTCTGTCTCTAATGGAGTGAGTGCCTGTTTTGTGAGAGATATATGGGCTATGTAGTCGTATGATTACAACCAACGTTACTGGATCGGCTGAGTTCACAAGCTCCGAAAAAAAGGGACGCGCTGTCATCCACTGCCGTGTAGTGGCGCTGTTGTCGCAGCCAGCCCCACCCGCTTGGTCCGACGTCGCGGTACCCTCGCACACGCAGTGAAACACATAGTTTCTGTGAGGATTCACAAAGTGCATTACCAGAAACTAGTGCCAGTGTAACAATGTCCGGAGTGGGGCAACATTTCCTAGGACATTTTAGGTAAATTCACGCCCGTCCGGTCTTCGCAGTTTTGGCAGTCTTCGACATTCGACAACACGCAAGCAAGCTCGGAGAATTGGCTGCGTCTATTATGATTTCCGTCACGATAGACGCAGCCATTTCTCGCTATGTTTTGGTCGTTTGCGGACTGAAATGCAGAGAACTTCCTTCTTTTGTGTGTCCTGTGTTTGTGTTAGAAGTTCATGCATAATGGATGCATTCCACAGCCGCATTAGAAAAGATATTAATTTGAAGACGTCTTTGTCATTTGAAGGAAGCGGGCTGTTCTTTTTTTATTGTGTTCGGCTACACCGAGGCCTACTAGCCTACTACTAGAGCACCTAGGGCGGTGGAAAGGGCTGAGTTATTCGTCGCGTACGTTTCTCCGAGCTGGTGTGCGCTAGACCACGGGGCCACCGATCCCCCTCGAGAAGCGTTCGCACAGCGCTGAACTGACAACTCTTTGTATTTTAGATTCGTTTTCTTCTACACGTTGTTAAAACAAAATCTGTAAATTATTATGCCCTCATTTTCTTCTCGGCCTATTAAAACCAATTCGCAAAATAGTCCGCTATAATCTTCTTAAGGTGCAACCCCACCGTGCGTGGCGTTTTGGTGGTTTTTTGACGGCTTATAACTTTCTTTATATGTATCTTACAATTATAAAGTTAGTGTCAAATTAAATAGCTGTTTTTCAACGAAACTTTAGTGACTCGATATTACGGTTATTTTAGTTGTTAGTTTATTATTCAGCTTTTAGTAGACCACAGTTTCTAATATTGAAAAAATGATTTCTCGAGCTAAAACGTCCCATCGGCCACGATATTTTACGTGAGCGTTCGGTTGATTGTATTAAATTAAAAACGTAAGAAAAAAATTGTACAGATAATATATATTTTAAAATAAAAAAATAAAGTTTAAATATGTATTATTTTATGGCGCTATAAAACGAAATCACGTCCACTAATCAAAATAACGAAATATTAAATAATGAAGCATCCTCGGATATTACACTTTCTATAACTTTCGTGTTGATATATTACACGTTAATAATGTTATAAGACCTTAACATTTCCCATTCAGTTACGGCAAATTGTAGTTTCTTAATATAAAATACAGATGTCGAAACGTGTTCAAGAACAGTAGGGTGCGCGTGTGTATGAAGGCACTCTAAAGAACAGCTTGATGTGCATTTTCCTTCGTGTGCTGCTTCGAACGCCACGTGAAAGGCAGAAAAAACGCCAGAGGTCAGGGTGTCAGATGCCTGGATGCCCGCAGTTAGCTAGCCAGAGATGTCAGAACAACAAGCGCGAGGCTGCGGGTGCACCACAGCTACTTTCGCGAGGCGTTCCACTGTGTGTCGGCACACATGCCCGACGCGATCCAAATGAAATGGGTGCCATGAAATGCATTCTGCCATTTCAGATTGCGCCACAAATGCGAAAACATTTTAATGTTTTTATCACTTCCGAAAATCATTTTCACAATCAAAGCTTGTCGAAGGTTTTCACTATATTTTGTTTCAAAAACCACGTCGGTGGCTCTTAAGTGGCAATGATATTAAGACAAAACACAAAACATGAAATTGTCTCAGTGTCTCCGAGCCAACGCGCTGGCTGATGGATCCCTATTTGTCGAGTTTAAATATAGGCCAAGGTGCCGGCAATCCGACGAAGGTCTATCTGAGATTTCGGTTGCAGGTCAAAAGGTCTCCAGTTAGTCAAAATAAACCCGCTTTTTTATTGTTGGGGCGTGTTAAGTGATTTTTGTTGGCTTGGCTTGGAAACCCTAAGATCTGAATATGTGCTTTGCTTTACCTTAGTTCGGAGCGCAGCCAACGCTACGGGCTGATGAAGCCACTGAAGCAGCGCCAAGAGCTTTTCGTTTTCTTTCTGTGCCTATGCGGTCGGGCTAAACCAGAGCCACTAAATAAGCTACGCTTCATACAAATCTTGGTGCTTGAAATGATAGTTGTCAGTTATCTGAAGCTTCATCTGAAATCACAAGAAACGCTTTTCCGTCCTCCACAAATGCATAAACAGTTCGCGACAAAGCAAAGGAATATTACGTAAGTTTCCTGACACCGAAACTAATGCTGAGGAAGTCGCACTTTTGAATCATGACGATCGGCACCTGCTTTTGATTTGTTACTAATCATCAAGATTGTGGCGCCCACAACAATATTGGGGGGAAAAGTGCCGATACTCTAAGCGTAGCTCATTTTGTTTAGCTCAAAGGCTAATACCCAAATCACACGGCAGCGTAAAGGTACCTTTAGCTTAGGTCCCTTAGCTAAAGGTACCCGTAGTTAACGGCGTTTTTGATCACACGATAAATAAACGGAGCACTTTAAGTTTATGTTAATTGCAGTCCTACTAAACCGCGAGAAGAGCACGTGATAAACAATTATTCCTCGAAATCGGTTTAACGCGCAGTTTTTGTAGTGTAGTGGTGGGAGTTTGTTGACAAATTGATGGAAAAAGAAGAGGAAATGAAGGTGAAAAACAGTGATGATCGCCATTGGTTGGCTCCTGTCTCTGCCACTTTTCTGACCATTAATTACCAATTGAACAACTCTACATGCCAGTGACGCTATCGAAAGGAATGGGTGACGACGAGCTCCTGGGTATGGTTGGGTCGCTTCAACAGCAGCGGATCCAATTTAACCAGATGGAAGAGCAGATCCAAACAATGGAAGCAGAAGCGGACACACTCGACGAGCAGCTTCAGGCATCGAATTTCACAATCGCAGCTATTTTGGCCCGCGAGCTCATAAAGGTCGCTCGGCAGAGGACTGTGTTAGTGAGGCCAGCGAGGTGGTTTGAGAAGACACTGCCTAGGATGGGCGAACAGCACTTCAGCGCTTGCTTCCGCGTCTCCTCCACCACCTCGTGGACGTCTGCCGCCCGTTGATGGTCCGACAGGACACCTCGATTAAGTCCGCAATGACGGTCGAGAAGAGGGTGGCGATCAGCCTCTACAGGCTCTGCTCATCGGCATAAGAGCGGACGATTGCACACCTCTTTGCGGTAGGCCAATCGGTGGTGAACGGAAGCTACCGGCAGTTCTGCGATGTGATCATTGATAAACTCGAGTCGCGCACTGTTTCGGTGGTCCTGAGCCAAAACCTCTACCACCACATGCTCGAGTTCCAGGCAGTCCTCGAATTTGCTAATGCCATCGTTGGCTGTGGACAACCTAAACTACAAGGGATGGTAGGCTAAACACCGTGACCCTTAGTTGGCAAATCGCATTATGTAGCTTGTCTCTGGAGAAATAATCATGCGGGCAAACACTGGTGCTGTCAGAGCAGGGGCCTTTACCTTCGTTGCGTGGTGTCACACGGCCCTTGCCACCTTGCGCCCCTGTAACGTTACAACCCACCAAAACGCCCTTGTTGGCTGTCACCTGCTAAGCGAGCGGATTCCCCTACCCGCTCTCGAAATGCTCTAAGGTGCACAGCCATAGTCTCTGTAGTCAGCATAAACCATAAAAGAACAACTCAAAACCGTCAGCTGCAAAATGCAATCAATTAAAGAAAACGTGCTCTCAAAGGGATTCGGGAAACTTGTTAAATAGAATTAAAGCACACATTTTGTTTCATAGCGCACGGTGTAGCAAAGTTTCATGAGTATGTGCTTGTGCTACTTGTTGCTCACACGTGGTTCTTTGGTTTTAGGTACAGTGTCATCCTTCTGGCCTTGGTCGACCACCGCTACCTTTACCGATACGTCAACGTGGGCTTCCCAGGAAAGTGCCACGATGCCAACGTGTACGGCCGTTCCCCGTTAGCTCGTCTCTTGGAAAGCTATCAGGCTGCCGTTCCAAGAGTTATGGGAGGCACAGAGATTCCACCCCTTGTGCTTTGTGATCAGGCATTTTCCCTCACCCAGAACCTAATGAAGCCGTTCCGACACAGTCTGAATTACCCTCAAGGCAAAAGAGACTACAACTACGCTCTGTCCAAGGCTAGGCGAGTCGTAGAAAATACGTTCGGGCGTCTCAAGGCTCGCTTTAGAATCCTTCCGAAGCGAATGGAGCAACGGATGGAGAACGTGAATGCTGTAGTTCGAGCATGCTGCATTCTGCACAATGTCTGCGAGACCCTGAACGATAGGGCTGACCAGCAGTGGGTGACGGAGGCCCTGAAGATCGGAGAAGATGCAAAACAGGAACAGCCGAGCCTCAGCTCTTTATCTGCGACAGATAGGGGGGATACACTCCGAGCAGCACTTGTTTCATACTTCGAGGCAAATCCACTTCGGACACGCAAGGCATAACTAGCCCTTGTCATTAGACTGGGTGCCACTGCTTGAAGCCCACACATAAGTAAAACGGGGTCATATATCTGTATGCTTCACATTTTTTTTGTGCCCTTGACTTCAGGAACTGCAGGAACTCCCGCTGCAGGTTGTTCGACTCCTGCAGTATTTGAAACTGGCGCTGCCGATCATTGCGGACTTCATCTCTTGCCTTTTTGAGCTCCAGTCTTTGTTGTCTCTGCTCCTCCAGGAGCAACATGAGGAGGTCCCCTTGCTTCCTGGAGGACTTCCTTTTTTTTTTTTGCGGTTTCTATTGCCTGAGAGGCCCGTCTCCACGTCGTCTTCCTCGGGCCGGTTTTCGTCTCCCGGTTCCTAATAAAATCATGTGCTCATCAGTACGGCCCATTCCTTTATGATACATGCAAAGCTTTCGTTAATTCACGTAGTTACATTCCTTGAATAATTCAGCCACAAGACAGGGAAGGTCTAAACCCTCAACCGTGGGGTGTTTTTAGACACAGTTCAAGAACATAGCACCAGGGTTATGTGAGTGCAATGCTGTGTGAACAGAATGAGCGGATGATGCGTGTAGACACCTTAACACTGGACAGCTGTCACATGTATTACCTAGTTCCACTCACTGACTCACATAGAAATCATAGATTCTGCCCTTTGCGTCTTCGCAAAGGGCAGGAGACTCTCGCTCTCAGCATTCTAGAATTAAAAACACATTAGATTTTCTGATATAACTCTACAAGATCTTCAGAGATGGAGTCGTCCACCAGGCTAGAGTCGTTATTCGGTAGGCTTCCGAGAAACCTGTGGAGGTCACAATAAAGTGGCCAGTTCACCTTTCCGGACCCTGTTGTCATGCTTCTTTTTGTCCTGTAAGAAAGAGAAAAAAAAGTGAAAGCCGTTTACAACTCCCTGTAACACCGAATTAGAGCGCAGCTCTTGAGGAGGAGGAGGGTAGGGTACTGGGGGGGGGGGGGTGGAGTGACCTGGGGGGGTGGAGTGACGATGCCGATGATGTCATCAGTCACGTCACTGATGACGTCATCAGTGACGATGACGATACGGACTCCGATGACGTCATCAGCGATGATGACGATGCGGATGTCGGTGACGTCATCAGTGACGTCACTGATGACGTCATTCGTGATGATGACGATGCGGATGCCGGTGACGTCACTGATGACGATGCGGATGCCGGTGAGGTCATCAGTGACGTCACTGATGACGTCATCAGTGATGATGACGATGCGGATGCCGGTGACGTCATCAGTGACGATGACGTCAGCGGGGAGGTCACGTGACCCTGGGGGTGGTCACGTGACCTCGGGGGGGGGTCACGTGACCTCGGAGGGTCACGTGATTTTGGGTGTCACGTGACCTTGGGAGTCACGTGACCCTGAAGGAGGGAGTCACGTGACCTCTGGGGGTCACGTGACCTTGGGATGATCTTGGGGGCCGCGTGACCTTGGGGTGACCTTGGTTACGCCTACGCCGACGCCGCTCAAGCCGGGAACGGGCCCCTAAGAGCTGCGCTCTAAAAAGTGGTATTAAGCGATTTGGCCTTTTGCCATCTGTGAAGTTCAAATGCCGCAAAATATGGCCTATCACTCCTTCCTCTATGGGGAACTTTCTTTTTGTACTGGTGGCCTACTTTTCTCTGTGTTCTCCTACAAGACAGTGGGGCGAGTATGTGGGTGCTTGCAAAGTGGCTCAAAATCTAGGGCACGCCCGCCTCACTTCGCAGAAAAAGCGAGCTATAAAAGTTGAAAAATGCAAGAAAGCTGGCAAACTAACTCTGTATTAAAAAAAATTTAAAAATCCCAAAACTGGAAAAAAAACGAATCACACACGTGTATAACTGTCCCTTTTTAATTTTTTTTATTTCCCCCGTTTTGAGGTTTTCCGCTACAAAGTGAGCTATTACTCCAAATTTTACAAGGTAGAATGCAACACTAAAATGCAAGTACGGTGAAATTCTGAGATTGCTACATGCAATGAGGTGATGTCGCTATCCTGCAATAAAGCTCGGAGCTTCCTCCGAGGACGGGGCTTGGGACGCTCTCAACGGAGCGGCAGTGCGACAGCCGCTCGTTTAGAGACATCAATACCCATGCAGGCGCCTATTCTTACGGCCTTTTATAGGTCGTATTCACTGGCGGCCATAGTTGAGCTCGCTGCTGCTGAGCACGTGTTGACGTCAAGCTTCTACAACGCTTCCAACACTCACATCGTACACCATTGAGATTGTCTTCTTTGGGAGGCCATAAATAAGAACTAATTCCGAGCATGCGCTCTCAGCAGTCACCTCAAATATGGCGTCCAGCGAATACCACCTATAGAGCCACACTCGAGACTTTTACGGAGCGTGCAGCCACTACGAGCTGTATTCCTTATCGCATCGTTAAAGAAACTTGGAATCTGCATCCAGTTGTGGCGATGTGGACGATCTGGAGATTTACGGGCACGCAGAAGGTGAGCATCAACGACAATTGCGGTAACGTGAAAACCAGCTCACCTGTACGTCTGGTTGAGGTTATCTATCGTGTCCTGGACCTGCTGCCGTGTCTTTGTAATGGAGACGGACTCGAGACTGAGCCATATGATCTCGTAGACGCCGGCGTTTCTCCTCTGCCGCCGGAGCTCGCCGATGTTATCTTCCCACAGACGGATAAGTGTCCAGGTTTCGGATTCTTACCAGTGAACTCGAGCGCCTTTCTTCTTGTGCCGCTTGTGCTGGCGCCACTAGTGCTTGCGCCCGAGTTTACCTGACCGAAGGGCCCCGGAACCATGGTGGATAAAGGTCATGGGAGGGAGAGTCGGGCGACTCGTCTACAATCTCAAAAAACAGCTCGGAGTGGTCCATTGAGCTCGGGTTCGTAGAAGATATTCCTTTCCACGTGCCGCCGCTGCTACCTGCTAGCTAGAGCATGCGTTCCTCGTTAACGCATCATTCGAACGCATTTGTGTCCACAATCATTTCGTAATAGACCGATCTCACCAAGCGTTCGACGCATGCGCGAGGCAGCCATAACTTTTGTTCGTAAGAGGCATCGGCAGTGCACGAGACTGTTCGTGTTCTGCACGCGCAGAGCTCCAGCGAGGTTGTCGCACGCGCAGAAGGACTTTAAGTTCCCTCGATGCATTGCGGCAGCGGTGGCGTTGTCAAACTGGCTGGTGAGATCGGTCTATTCGCTACTTATATATATTCAATTTGTTATAATGCATTAAACAAGATATATTTATATATCTGTGATTTTTATTTGGAGTTTTTAAGTCCGAGGATATTCCCTGTAGCTGTAAAGGGAGCTCGGCGAGCTCCGTTTAACACAGGACCTCCCTTAGCGGAAGGTACCTTTATGCACCGTGTGATCACGCTCTCCCGCACCCTTTTCGACAGGTACCTGGGCTAAAGGCACCTTTATGCTGCCGTGTGACTTGGGTACAACCTTGGCACTGCCACAGTGGCATTTTGTTCCCCTCATTTTCTTTGTATTTTTACTATTAATGCGCTGTTTGCACCGGTTACAACAAAGGGTTGCATCAGTCTATGCAATGTGCACGTGAAGGCAATCTATGTGTGCGTAGTTCTGGCATCCTGGAAGTATGTCTTCCTCATAATGCATTTTATATTAAAACATAAGATCCAGTTCACGTAAATAATCTCGCAAACAGGCTCAGCATGTCACCATAACTGCGGACGCTAAAGCAGAGAAAATCATGCCGAATCGTGCAGCGTCAGGGCGAGCGTGTGGTTAAAGCGGCGGCCAGAGATGGATGTCTGGTCAAAGCAGCCCAAGTTCCAGCCGCATGAGCCACAGCTGAAATTAAGAGTATAAGGGTGGTAGCCAAGGGAAAAAAAAAAACCGAGCACACCGAGAATACAGTACGGCCGCCACCATGTTTTGTGGGAATTCACAAGCCATCCGCTTCTGTAAACAGCTGTGGTTTGTGAAACGACGGTTCACAATGTGGCTATAGCTTCTTAATTTCTAAAGCATTTAATGCTTCATGCCACCTTCGGGGAGCGAGAAAGAACTTGTAGTCACTATCTTTATTTTAAGACAAGAAAAAAAGTGTGGGTCATACATTTTTCAGCAACCCTTGTATAAAAGTTCCATTGCCATGCACAAGCCCTTATTCTGCAAGCTTATTACAAAAACGTCTGGTATTTTATTCGAGCACACAAGGCTTTTGCGAGTCAGGCAGGTGTAAGGCTAGGCACTAACTATGAGCTTGAAAATCAAAAGATCACTATGAACACATTTTCGGCCATTTTGCAGGAACTTCAGCTCACTTCTACTGCAGATCCTGGGTATTCCATAAGAACTGCCACGTCTGCCGATGACACCTACAGCATGCATTGAAGTTCAGTACAAAAACAAAGGTAAGGACTTGTGAGGTTTCATTCTAGTTGAGAACGGTCCACAACTTGAGAACAAAAAAAATGCGGTAAACTCGCCGTTACTCGTGTTTTTTTTTTTTTTTTTTTTTTTTGTTTTATTATAGCAATTGCCCGAGAACATCTATAAGGAGTATTCACTGGGCGCCATATTTGTGGGTGCTGTCTAGAGCGCATGTTCAGAACGAGCCCAGATTAATAGGTTGCTAAGACCGGCACTCTCGATGGTGTGGAATGCACGTTGCAAAAGAACCGGGGAAGCTCGCCGTCAGCGCGCGCTCAGCAGTATTGCACACAACTATGGCCACCAGTGAATACTTCCTATATTTTGACAAAATTTAAAAATTCGACCCAAAATTCGTGCCTGAGCTGAGATGAAGTCGTAAGATGGAAAACCAACTATCCGAGGCCGCTCTGTTAATAATAGCTATGATCACCTGTTCCCAAAATCCAAACTTCTGCGGGAGTGTTCCGGTGTTCGGGTGTTCAAGCACAGTGACTGCCCCGTGATCTTGCGCTCTTTGTCTGAGTGCATTTGATTGAGCAGATGATGACAAACGCGCAAAGGTGATGAACACTGTGACGATGCACATTTGTCTCTGGT